CATACCACGATATAGAGGTGATTGTATTTTAAAGGGTGAAGATTTCCTAGGCTGGTTTTAATGGTAAATATGGGGACTTTTTAATGCTTATAGCCGAACACTTTAAATACGTTAAGTCATAGGACCTCAAAAACACTACGCTTTAAAAGCTGAGCAGGATGTTATCCTTGCCCTCTCGTCTAGGAACATTAAGTTTTCCGACGAAAATGCCGAACAGGGACGTCAAAACAATAATTTAAGTTAGCTTACTATTTAAAAATACCGATATTTTCAAGACCTTAAGCCCGGTTAGGAGAGAACATTTTGCTGATAAATGTGAAAAATTGGGTGTTAATATTACTTTTGTGTTGAAACTTAAATGTTTTGTACCAATGTTTAATGATGTAAAACAAAATAAATCAAAAACGTTAAGCAAGCGTAAATGAATTTATGAAAAGTGGGCACACTGAACAAATTAAAATATCGATAACGTACAATCGACAACCGCACCAGTATCAGAATTTTTCTGCAAAAGTGGGTGTGTACTACTTGGTGTGCTAAATAAGATTCCTTAAAGTTTCAACGGTTAAATATAAAAGGTTATTAAGCTGAATTAATTAATTGTTAAATCGTCTTTTGAATATGTGCATATCAAGTGGAAATTCGCTTAAAGATCGAATAATTTGCTAAGCTGCATACATATGTATGTACAGATATATATGTATATGTCATATACAGTTTTTGTGTCTTAAGATACATACATATGTATACCTACCTATCCATACATGCGCAAGGATATCCAAATACAGAAAATTATATTATCATGTAATTTTGTGCATACATGTTACATTGGGTTCGTGGTGTACAAGAGCTTTCGTTTAGGCAGCCTATTTTATCGATTCAACAAGAGCAGAAAGTTGTATTACCGCTAGTATTTTTGCTTCAATACATGTATGTATGTACCTTATCGCACTTTTTACGCATACATACACATGTGGGTTGGTAAGTCCAATAAAAAATTTCCCGTTAATTACAAAAGCCAGTTTAAGCTATGTATTAACAATAATAAAAAGCTGATTGAGTTTTCTCTAATGATTTTATACTCATCTTGGGTGACGTTCAACTCATTCTGTACAATTGCGATTTTGCACGTAAAAAGCTAAGACCGCAGCCCACCGCATTAAAGCCCATAGAGGTCAATGGCCGCTTAGGTGCTTATTAAAATGCTCACTAACAAAACCTAATTACTGATCTGAATAATTTGCGAACATTGATATATGCAATTTGTTAATAGGCCATTAAGAGCAGCCGCAAAATGATTTAATACAATATATAATACTTTTTCAGAACAATGTCGACTAGCCCAAAACCTGTTAAGAAAGTGCCCATCCACTTACAAAGTGCCCAAAATCGAATATATATTAAAAACGGCGAAGTCGTAAATCATGATAAGATTTTTAAAGCGGACGTTTACATTGAGGATGGTATCATCAAGTAAAAAATAACAAAGTTCAATTAAAGACTAGTTAACTAACCTTATTGAACTTAATGCAGATTTGTTGGACCTGCTTTCGAAATAACAATACCTGGAGGCGTGCGTATCATAGATGCAACGGGAAGAATGATTATACCGGGGGGCATTGACCCTCATACACATCTGCAATGTCCTATTGGAGACAACGTTACCGTTGACGAGTAAGTTTTCATATAACTACATTTTTGTATGGTTCAACATTTTTTTTATATTTTTGACAGTTTTTATCGTGGAACAAAAGCGGCAGTGGCTGGTGGCACCACTATGATAAGTAGGAACATCTGCAATACCACTGTTTGGTTTAGTTATTAGTAATATTTATCGTTTTTATCGGAATTAGTTGATTGTGTACTACCCAAAAAACACGAGTCAATGGTGGAGGCTTATGACAAGTGGCGCAGCTGGGCGGACCCTAAGGTATGTTGTGACTATGCTTTACACGTGGGCATAACTTGGTGGTCGAAATCGGTTTCCGAGGAGATTGGTATACTATGCAAGGAACTAGGCGTAAATTCGTTCAAAATGTATATGGCCTATAAAGGCCTCTATATGTTAAGCGATTCGGAGCTTTTGGACATTTTCGAGCGAATCAGAAGCCTAAATGGGGTGGCAATGGTAAGTTGTATCTGTTAGCATATCATGTAAGTATGATGAGCTCAATTCTTTACTAGGTGCATGCCGAGAATGGTGACATCATAGCCAAGAATACAAAAAATTTGTTAGCCGACGGTATCTGCGGGCCCGAGGGGCATGAATTGTCACGGCAGGAGGAAGTTGAAGCAGAGGCTGTACACCGCGCTTGCATTTTAGCCCACCAGGTAAGTATTATTTAAATAAAATATAAGAATACACATTTAGTCAAAATTGTATAAAATTAAAGCTCGTGGGAATTAGGGAAATGTTACAATAAATGTACATATACATATGTTACCATAATTGTTGATTTTGTTTTTAATTTATTATTATTTCCATTATGTATGATGCACTCTTGTACATAAATAAGAATGTATGCGGTATGTGGCACTTGATAATACTCCAATAAATGTAACCCTCGATGCTGCACTTGCATAATATATATATATATCTTGATTGCCTGCTATATGTACTCATATTATGTGCAAATCGAATGGCATCAAGGTAGCGCGGCACCCATAGCCAGTGCCAGTGCTCGTACTTATATCAAACACGGCGCTATAAGCTAAATCAACCTTTGTGGCCAGTAACGATACAAAGACGGCCGAGATCCTGATCAAGCTTCTGGCGAAGTAAGTAATACAGATACTGGATTGTCCTATTGTATTATCGCCCCAATAATTTTGTTCATATCACTTAAAGTCATCAAACGTACAGCAAATCGATTGCCTATAAATCTTTAATAATATTTCTTATTAAAACTCTGCTTAGATGAAGACACCTCTATACGTTGCTGGCGTAACAAGCAAGTCCTCTGCAGAACTCGTAGGTCGTGCCCGTCGTAGCGGCTATTCCGTGTTCGGTGAAACGCTTGCGAGCTCTATTGGCCGAAGTATGAGCAATGTTAGCAAATCGGATCGAGTTTATTATATTACCAGTCCACCAATTCGTATGTCGGCAGAAACGCCAAGGCAATTAATGAAATCTTTAGCATAGTAAGTACTTATATTGTAGAAATACTTATTTTTTTTTATTAATCTTACAATACTTCAATCGCTTTTGAAATGGCAGCGACGATCTACAGGTCACAGGAAGTGATAACTGTACCTATAATAAGAAACAAAAAGAGCTCGGTTTATATGACTTTACTAAAATACCGAATGGTGTTAATGGTGCTGAGGATCGAATGTCGGTGGTGTGGGAGAAGGGAGTACATCAGGGCCTTCTTGATCCATGTAGATTTGTGGCTGTAACTAGCACTAATGCTGCAAAAATTTTTAATATTTATCCACAAAAAGGACGAATTGGTACGTTGAACAAAAATAGATGTTATGTGTATATATTTACATCTGTGTATTTGGAAAAAAAAATATTTATATATAAACTTTTTATAACTTTTTTATCGTAGCTGTTGGCTCGGATGCTGATATTGTTATATGGAATCCACAAGCTACACGCACCATTTCCAAAGAAACCCATCATCATGCTTGTGACATAAATATTTTCGAAGGTATGACTGTTCATGGTGTGGCTGAATATGTAATAGTGCGCGGACGAATTTGTGCCGAGAATGGATCCGTTCGCGTTGCAGAAGGGTTTGGACGTTTCATACCGATGCCACTACGGCCGCCATTTGTTTATGACATTATTGAGGGAAAAGTGCGATCATCTGAAGAGCAGCACGAGGAAAATCAAAACGGCCACTTGGCCAAAAAATTTGCTGAATTAGACATTCTAATACCAGAAGAGAAAAATATTTCTGCAATGCTAGCTGGTAATATGCCATTTGCGGCAGGAGGTTCTCCTTGCAGCACGCCATCTGTGCGTGGCCGTGTTGATGGGCATCGAGACATGCAAGAGTCGTCTTTTTCGATTAGCGGTGAGTTACTTTAACTATGTTTTCATTGTTATATGCATTGTTCGTTTTTTTTTTTTATATAGAGGAACTAGACAAATCCAGTGTTCGTTCTTGTATTAAAGTGAAGAACCCGCCAGGCGGTAAATCATCTGGATTTTGGTAAATCAAATTTCTTGAGGGTATAATAATCGCACAACGCGGTCATCACCAAAATCTGCGCTTATATAAAAATAGATATCCAAACACCAAAAATTCGATTCATATACATTCAAGTTAATTTTAATATAGCCGCAAATATTATTTATTCACATAAATTTCAAAGTTAACCAATATATTTGAAATCCAGCTTACTTTTTTTTTTTTTTAATATACTCAGTGTGTTTGAAGCTACAACAAAACGTTTAATTTTTGGTATTTTCAAAATAAATTATCAGCATATGTACACAATAATATGATTGCTATTGATTTTACGTTACTTTGTAGGTATGCACTCTTTATTTAAAAATGATGATTGACAAATTATTTCATTAAAAATTAACTCAAATTAAGCATTACAATATACAGTTATTTACGCTGGATACATAATTACATTTGTTTCTTCAACAATATACATAAATACTCATGTTGCAAATAAAATACTCCTCTATCTGCCTTTTGACAATTTGCATTTAAAATCTAACTCTAATTAAATTCAGAGCGTAATTAGAAGTCTAAGTAAATGATCCCGAATTTTCAACCGATATATTGGGTCAATATAATTGAATTAATAATTTATATAAATTGAATCGATTAACACATGAGGTCCAATAAAAGTTTTTGTTTTGCCCGTATTTATTAATCTATTTACCTACAGTTTGTTAAAGCAAAGCAGTATTACTCATTAAAAAAGTCATATGAATAAAAAAAAGTAATCAACAAAAATTTGTTTTATTTTTATCTTTTTGAGTTTGTGGTGCTTTCAATAAAATAAAAAAAAAACGAAAATTAACAGACGAGTATGCTGCTTAATATATATTTTCACTTCTGTATTAGCTTATACTCTAAAATCATTCGTAGCGTAACCTAAAATTGACTTAACAACTAAATTTCAATTAGCAATGACAATATTTGTATTTGCGCTCACGGGCGTCGATTGTGGTTTATGGAGGCGTAGGAATGCTTTCGGCCGCTGAAGATAATTTTGTTAGGAAAACGCTGTGAAGACAATTTAGCTGTCCATATTGAGTTACAAAATAATTTGGAATATATCTCATAAAAAGTTCAGATACTCACCGTCCACTATCCCTACATTTGCTTATAGCTTCTTTAAATATGCGGCACATTTGACAGCGCTGCTCACTTGTCCCGTATTTAGCAGACCCAACTTCTTGTGCTTGGCGCGGAACTTCCTAACATAGGCATCAATTAAATTTTTGATTTTGTGGGGATTAATTTCACCAGAGCGACTGTGACAAATCTATAAAGTTGGATGATATTTATGTTAAAACATGTAGTCTTTGTCGTGTGCAACAGCCACATACTTTGGGTACAGCGCGTCGCATAATATCCTTGTAATCGTCCTTTGTTATCACTTTTTTATTGAAATGTGGTTTCAGTACCAGCTTTACTTCCTCAACAACACGTTCCTGGCGGTTTAGCTTACGTATAAACTGCAACCGATTTTTGGTAGAGTTTCATAAACTTATTGATTTTGTTATTATTACTTACCCTATCCTTGACTTGTAAATCCACTGCCGAATTGGGCACATCATCATAGAGTTTCACGTGGTCGTCGACCAATTTGTTACCTGAAACCACAAAATGAAACAGTTAAGCCTTTGAAAACATCATCGTAATTGTTTGGCAAAATTTGTTTGAAAATGGCAACAAACCGCAAAGTGTTTAACGCATGGAATAAATAATTTCGAATCCCATTCTATTAATATAGCATTATCTGCACGACGATATAGTCTAAGGATTATACATGCTTTGCTAACGCAAAAATATTTCAAAACATAATCTTCTTTCTAGTCTGATTTATAGATATAATACAAGTGCCACACAATGTTGGTAGATGATGATATGTAGAGTAATACAACTTTGGAAAATCAAAAAATTAGCGGAATAGGATGATAATAATCCATACGGACATAATGCCTTGCTGCTCTTGTCAAAAACCAGAGTAATCAGGGATTCTCGCAGTAAAGGTACAATGATTTCAAATAATTATTAATATATCCTTTGCTGCCCCAACGGTCTATATAGTAAGGTTAAATTTACTGCAAATACAAGTATTATCAATTGAAACCCACCTTTGCCTTTCGTTTTGCGCTCGTTTTTGTTATTTGCACGTTGCTGTTTCCTTCCAGTTGAGGCATTGTACCGCGATGGCAGCCTATGTTGACCCACAGGGGAACTGCTTCCAAAGAGATTGTCAAACATCTCAGCTTTACCGGAAGCGGGCACCCCGCTGCTTTTGGAACGTCTAATTGAACCAATTGCGTTGCCACCATCTGGCGGGGGCTCAAACAAATCCTCGTAGTCCGCCGAACCAGGAGAGTATGGGCTTTCAATGTCCATATTGAAAGAGTCGTCCAGCACAGTGGCCATACTGCTAACACCGGTGTTGCCGTTACGCATTGCTCCACTGCCCGAGGGCAGATTCACTATACCACTGCTGCTGCTGGCCACACTGCCGCCAGTCTTGGGCATGGTGCCCAACTTTCTTACGAGTGTAGTCGGCGGACTAGATATAACCGGTATGTGTTGTGGCGCGGACGCAACACTACTACTTGTTAGCAGGACATTCGACAAAACCGTAATTGAATTATCGGCAAGATTATCTTCAGCGCCAGGCACAGCCAACGCTGTGCTCATTGTGGTGCTGTTGAGATACGATGCCGATGAGACTTCGATGGATTTATTGGCCAGGTCTTGCTGAATGGTGTTGCTGGGCTTACTCATGAGTGCCATGACCAGCTCTACTGGATTAATGCTCACACTCGAATTTACTTGGGTCGCTGTGTTGCTTGTGCTCGACAAGGTCGGTGTTCCTGTGTTCACGTCGGCCAGATCGTCGCTGTGGCTGTTGTGTTTCTGGCTGCACGTAAGTGCATCAATTTTTTCCATGCCACCGCAAGCATTACCGCCAACGCCAGTGGAAGTCTGTAGGGTCATTGGTTCTAGATTCTGGGCAGGAGTTGGTGTTGGGGAACGCGGAGATAAAGAGGGTGATTTTGTCGGCTCAAATGGATCATAAGCATCCGGAGAACACGGTCCCGATTCCGGAGGTGTATTTGGTCCGATCTTTTGCGCTGAAATGAGCCCGTCATTAGCATGTGGCTGTTGCGGCTCTCCGTCAATAGCACCCCGCAGAGAGCACACGGTTTCTAGATCGTCTGCAGAGTGTATATCGTCGGCATCATCGTGCAGCGGATTATTACGGACTTTGTGTTGTTTTTTGGCGGGTAAGTTGAACTTCACAAGATGTGGCTCTGGTGGCGTTTTCGGACCAGTAGTTTGTGTGAGATTTTCATATGAAGCCTCCAATATCGTTTCCAAAGAATCGGTTGGCGGCGTTTTTTCGCGTTGTCCATTCTCTCTCATCAACACATGACCCGTAGCGGATGCGACGCTGTTCCGTCGCCGTTCGCGTCTCATCAAGAGCTGGTTATCATTTGCATCTTCGCTATCGGTCAGCACAATAACATCGGCCGGCTCTTGGTGCACTTGAAATGGCGAGCGTTCCAGATCAATAATCGCTACAGGCTTTGCATCTAGCTTTTTTCGCTTTCGTTTAGCCTTCTTACCCGCTACCCCGCTACTGTTGGTCAGCCGGTCTGTGGAGGTGCGCCGCCCTCCAAGGAACTCATCCCTAGTCGGTGGCAATGTTACTACAGTCTGCTGTTGTCCCGACCCTACTAGTGCATTGCTTACCTCCTTGTTGAAACTAACGCTGACAAGAATATTGTTGCCCGATGCAAATACCTCCTTTGAGGGCAACGGTTCAGGTGTCATGGTGTGGCGCTTGCGCTTTTTGTCCTTGCGCTGCTTGTCTAACGGCTTTTTCTTCTTCTTGCTTTTGTCTCGCTTGGGTTTGACTTTTTTCCCAATTACTGGCGTTTGGCTGCGATGAGGATTCTCATTATAGTGCGTAACGGGCGCTTGTGGAGATGTCAAGGGCGGCGTCCAGGACGCAGGCTTTTCGCCACTAGTTCCAGCTCCACTCTCGTGAATAAAGTTAAGACGTTCCGCAGAAAGACTGGGCGTGGGGGACGGTGACCAATGCATCGCTCCAATGCCCGCTGATGATTTTTTGGACTTTTTACCCAACTGAGGTGCGAGAAAATCATCAGCATCATCAAAGGGGTCACGTTGCCGCGAAATCCGTCGCTGCCGAGCCACCGGACTGTTACTTGATGCACGCTTCTTGCCTTTCTTCTTCTTATCACTCTTCTTTTTCTTCTTTTTTCGTGGACTTTTTGAAAGACTACGACTTAGCCGTGGCGTATAACGCGGTGAATAGCCAGGCGAATTCTTTGCACCCTGCATGCTGCGGCTGCCATTCATTCGCGCCGGCGTATTTGATCGGGATCGCACTGATACTGTGCTGTTACTCCGCTGCAGCGGGCTGTTACGATGAGCTGGTTGTAGTGGTTGTGAATTCGGCGGTGAATGTTCGAATCGTCTACCGCCCGGGGACACAGATCTGCGACGTGCTCCCTGCTCATGCTGATGCCTGGCAACACCTGCTGGCGGAGTTGGCGAAATGCTAAAACTGCGAAAACGTTTCGGGGACGCTGAACGTGTTCGTGTACGTGTACGCGTCGAACTACGTGAATAACTACGCGAACGTTGTCGCCGTTCATAGCTAACAGATCGACTCCTAGCAGATCGAGCTGCGTCCCGGCCATAGCGATCCTTTTGGTGATGACGCGACGTGCTAACGACATTGCGCACATCGTAGCGTGGCAGCTCGCGTCGTTTTTGTCGCTGAAAATGTGGCTGCATATGGTATTGATTTTGCGACTGATACTGCTGATGATGGTGGTGGTACTGGTGAGGGTATTGGTGTTGATTATGGTGCTGCTGGTAATGTCTATGCTGAAATTGCTGGTTTCGAAAATTGAAGCGTAGCCCACCACGGCCGCGACCAAATCCTCGAACAAATTCGCGACCCCTGAACGTGGCGCGTTGGCGTCCGCCATGAGGACTATTTGAGTGTGATCTTGACCGGGAATACGACTTGGAACGACTATTACGTCTACGACCGCGTGGCGATTTAGTTAGACTACGACTGCGGCTGCGGCTGCGATCGGGACTTCGATTACTGCAGCTGCGTGTGACAGAACGTGGCGTGTTAGTGTGAGAACGTCGGGAGCGACTTCGGTCCTGTTGTTGCTGTTTATCACCGCGGTAATTGCGGTCTTTTCGCCGCTTGCCCACTTTTTTAAACGTCTCAGAAGCTTCCTTGCTACGTTTAGAACTGCGCTTGGATTTACCAATTTTGGTCTCCCCTTCTTTACGATGGCGACTACCACTACGACTGCGACTGCGACTGTGACTGCGACTGCGACTGTGGCTGCGACTGCGTCGCTTTGATTCGTTTTCATTTGTCAATTCTTCGTCTTCGGATATAAGTTCGGTACCCATACCAGCAACGCGCTCCTCACTGTCTTCGGCTTCTTCAGACTTTTTTGAATCGCTTTTTTTGGCTTCACATGAAGGATCTGATTTATCGCTTTGGTGTCCGGCTGTCGCATCCTCCTCCATATTTTTCTCATCCAAACATGGCGTATAGGATCGATCTTGGTCAGATTCGCTGCTTGAAGTTTTCGCTGATACCTCGCCTTCCTTGGTTTCTTTTTTACCACTAGCGGGAGTATCCTCTACAGATTCCTCAATGAGCGCCTTCTCAAATTCTTTCGGTTTATCAATCTCTAACTCTTCCCAATCACTGTCATCGTAGAGTTCCAAAACACCTTTGCCTCTGTCTACAGTACGGCCATCCTTGATAATGGGGCTAGGAGTACTGCGCGTTTTCGTTTCATCATCATCGTCAGGTTCCTTGCTAGCTGGTGTAGCCGATGCGCTTCGTTCACAATTCAAGTTGCTACTTGCCAGGTTGTCATTGCATTCTTCTACGTTGCTGTCACCGCATTGCACAGGCTTATTAACAATCTCTTTCTCGTCCTCTTCTTGCTCTTCTGTCGGATTTTCAGGTTCATACAGATCGCTACCGGCATTGTGATCATCCTTAACATTGACGACTGTATCGGTTTGAGGCTCTGGAGGCAGTGGTATATCATCATCATCATCTAATTGTACTAAATCTTCATTCATTTCGTCGTCATCCTGAGTAAGTAAAATAATTTCAAAATTGAAAGAAAGAAAATAACATATCACGGTTAGTATGCCAAGGAATTTCGATTGTTTCGGTGTGAATAGGAGCTACATAATACAGACTGCAACTAAGCCTCAATAACTGTTAAAAGAAACTCCCTTTTTATCAGTTATTAATATAATTATACTCTGTAACCATTAAAAATGTGAGTAACAGTATAAAAATATTAGTGCATATGTATGTAACAGTCGGTAGGAGGCATTCTTGTATCCTTGAAGTATATATGTATCGGGTCAGCACCTAGTCTGCGTAGCTATATTCTGACTAGATAATATATTCTGACAAGATAATCAGACCCAGAGACATCTAATTTGCGAATCATACTTATTTTGATTTATTGTATACGTATATACATTTTAGTCATCTTATGCCCAATTTTATAATTTTCGGACAAATTTAGACACAAGATTTTATTGACGAGGTTAAGGTATCAATAAACTTAGCATCTGGCTTAAGTGTTCAGGTGCGTGTGCTTTCCGCACGTCAATATCATGTCGTTGGTTACGGCAGTTCTGAGTTGCGAGCAGGATATCTCGGGAGCTCTCGACTAGAGCACTATTGAGCTTTTGAATATTACCAACCCCAAAGAAAGTTGCGTTGTTCGGATATTTATAGATATGTGCCATTTCTCAAACATTGCTTTCATACAAGTCTTAGAAGTAAAGAAATCTTACCTCGTCTGAGTTCTTTGCAGATTTTTGCGGTTGCGCGAAGAGTTCTGTGGCTACCGCCTGCGATTCCTGTGAGTAAATGGAGAAATTCGGACAATTTTCATCGTCGTCGTCGCCATCTTTTTTAGTATCAATTTGGTTTCCATAATCTGTGCTAAGTTTAAACAACGAGCTGTTCCACGACAAGCTGGGCGGCGGTGCCGGTGGCGGTGGTACAGTCAAAACCGGTGGCATTGATATGCGTGAGCCGAGAACAGGTGCATTAATGGGTGCGGGCAGACCGCTGAAAAGCGGTCGCTGTTGCTGCTGAGGAGTTATGTGTGCGAAGCTGGTGGATGGGGCGACAGATGGCGTTAAGGGCATACGTATGCCGCTGGAATATGACGATTGGCGCGGTTGCTGCATATTTTGATTACGCTGCGGTTGATTAGGTGAATTAAAACGTATGTTGAATGGCGTAAAGTTTGTATTGGGTATAGTATTGTTGTTGCCGTTGGGGTTGTTGTTGTTGCTATTGAAAGTTTGATTGCCAAAACTGGACTCCGCAGACGAATTATCACTGCTATTCGCCATACCGCCAGTTGAATGTTGTTGGTACTGATTAGCAGCAGCTGCACTGCCTCCTCCGCCGCCGCCACCACCGCCACGAGAGTTGTTACCGCTATAGCGATTGTTAAAGTTGCCATTACCACCTTGACCTATATTGGGTCCCGAACCGCCACGTTGGTAAAGGGGCACTTGAGTGATATGTTCTGTGGGCTTGTTAAAATCAGGTTTTTTAGTTGGTTTGTCAATAGCCGCTGCCATCTCTCGCTGTGGTAAATTCAGGCTGCCGTCGGCATTAATATGGACTTCGCTCAGATTTCGCGATGCATTATGCCAACGATCTTGCAGTTCCATTATACTGGATAATATATCACTGGCCGCAGCAGCAGCCGAATTGCGTGTTGAGGCAGCTATTCTCGCTTTGCCCTGGAGAAGGGCTTTGCGATTGCGCGGCGCTCCAATGCTAGAACTACGAACTGACGTTTGAACTGCAGTTGAAGCTGAGCTCCCAATATTAATATCTCCTCCAACATCGTCGCGCATTTCATCGCTATCCGAAAAATACTCCAAACTGTTAGGGTTGCCGAATATTGAGAAACTAGAAGCGCTGCCACCGCTTATATGCGATCCACGCCCTCCGTCCATTTTGACGCCAAGTTGTTCCGCTAACCGCTTGCTGGCCGACATTCGGGCGCTGTCATTTAAGCTTCGAGTGCATTGGGATCTTATTTTGCGCGTTACTCTCCGTCTTCTTCTCCGCCTTATGACCTTCTTACTAGTCTTTACTGCGAACTTTTCATCAAAATTATTAATATCATACTCCACTACGTATGTGCGATGCGTAGCCGTACGCCGGCTACGTCGTCGACGCGATGTGGCGTTTCGTCTTGTTGTTGTGGTGCGGGTGGTTCGCGTTGTGCTATTCCGGTTACGTCGAGTTGTTGTTTGTGTCGTTGTTGTGGTAGTTTCCAGCTGCGCTTCTGCTACAGCCTGGCTTAGGGATCTCGTCTGGGTGTGCCGCAAGACTGCCGCCCGTATTCGTTCGTTCTGACGAGTGCGTAAAATACGAGGCTGCTGGACTTGACGTACACGTAAACGCGTTTCTGGCAATCCCATTCCGCGAATATCTTCGTACAGAGTGTGTAAGTCCTCAGCAAGTTCTAAATCTTCGTCTTCAGCCTCGTCGTTTGAGTCAATGCAGTTGTCACAGTACCAGGAGCCTGCAGGTATTTCATTAAGAGGCGGATCTAAGCAGTCCATGTGGTAACCTTGGTTACAGCTGTCGCAAAGCAGCATTATTTCTTCGCGGTCCGGACAATTGCATATTTCACAATTAGTAATATCATCATTATCACTGGCCACAATACCAGTGACGTACTCCTCGTCGTCTAACACAAGTTCCTTTTTTGACTTGCTCAGATCTACTCGAACTTCGCGAACAATGTTGCGTCGCTCACAACTATCCAGCACTATGATTCTATCGAACGCAAGTCGATCAATGGGACAGGTTTGAACATTGTTCGCCCATGCCTCAATACAGGCTGCACAAAACATGTGCTCGCACGTTACAGGTCTGCCGATCTCCTGTTGGCGGAACGTCAACAGGCAAATTGGGCATTTCTCCAGCAGTTCGTTACTGCTGCTACTGCCATCGGAACTAAAACCGCCATCGAGATCCGCTTGTACATCAGTTCTGATAATATTATTGGCCGCCGCTTTTTCATTCTCATTCTCATCCTCGGAAATGATTAATTTCCTTCGTTTCTTTCCACGTACCCGCTTTCTCGTAATTTGTTCATCGATCTGAGGGAAATAAAACAAATTAAATAATTTGTTAAGAAACATTTCTAGTTGTTCGAATAATACCCATCGTTTTATGTAAAAACTTTTGGGTAAATCCTTATAATTATTAGCTGCACCCTTCTTGCTCTTTATTTCTAACTCAAATCACTTTCAATATTCATTATAGTTAAAAAAAAAAAACAATACGCAAAAGAAAGTCAAGAAAGGATACACCAATAAATATAATAAATCAAACTTTTACCTCACTACCGCTGTCAGGATCATTGGCTGAATGAAGTCGGTTTGCATCACCACGTCTTTTAAGCTGGAGAGCCGACATAGTTGGCGCTCCATTTCTGTTAGCGTTGCTAATGGCATGGGGAACTTGTTTTCGATTAGATCGGTTACTCTGACAAGGTTGAAAAACCGACGAGCCTGGTACCCGCGTACCAAGGTCAATACCCACACTCAAAGAAGCAGAGGCAGGGGGAGCATTGTCATTACTTGAAACCGAACAAGAATCATCCGCGTCCGTGTCATCCGAATCCTTAAATTCGATTCGCATGATTATACGACGATTCCTCTTCTCACGATCATTACTCTGTACAGTCTTCCTGCTGCAAGACGGCTGATTCATCTCTGCATCGCTGCAGTCGCCGGAATCAGGCATGCTGATGCAACTTTGAATGTGTGTTTATGTCAGTGTATATCGACTTTCAGTAAGTGTGGAATCCTCGTCTTTACGATATAAACTTGGGAAGAACTTTCTTTGCGAGGGTTTTTATGTATTTATGTTTATTTTCAACTTTTACTCCTTCATATACGATTTTTCTACTTCTTCGCAGCTACATTTTTCTGTTAAGTTGGCTGCGCTTACGCAAACCTATCGATTTATTGTAAATAAGCAATTGATATCGGCACTCTCGGAGGCGTCTAAAACTGTTTAGGCCGCTGCTCTTAAAATCTGCACAAAGTCACAGTGCTCACAAAACTGTTATTTCATCTGGTTGTCTCCGGGCGTCAAGAACACTTGCATATTTGCCTTATCTTTATTACCATGGAAGATATGTAGCAACATTAGTTAATATAAGCAATGTTAAAGGGTTTTTGTGTTATAGCACTTTCAAACAAATTTTCTTGTACAATATTCACCAACACATAAATATACACACACATACATAGCGAGCCAAGTAAAAAATAATCGATATATTAGCTAGTGCTACTATCGTAATAAAACAATTCATCGATAGTTGCTAATGGTGCTATCTTAATAAGTCTGACATTATTGGCTTTGTTTGCCTTGGTCATACTAAAATGTAGATTTATATCTATCTAAAATATAATATGCGCAACTTAACGAAACGAACCGCAAACTGTAGTGGACAAAATTTGTGTTTTAGAATACGTGAATTGGATAATTTTAATTAAAAAATAATTTGGCCAATTATTTTCCAAGTTCTTCGATTAATTTTTTATGGTTATTATCGATAGACCGATAGACCATAGAAGCATATTCGCTGATTTCGGCGCCGTGTGCGCGCTAAAAAGTGATTCTTTGCGATACAGCTCTTTTCAATATAACAAATTTAACTTGATAAGAAACAAGATTTATTAGTCAGTGTAAAAAAAAACACAAATTAATTGAAACCTAATTGTTTTCTTGCTAAAAACTAATGATTTGTTTTTCACTGTCGCAGAGTGCATGACGAGTAAGAACGAGGCACATTTTTGCGCACGAAAAAGTGAAAAATACAAGTTATAAAACATTAAGAAAAGAAACTATGTTTACAACTCGGAAAGAGGTGGATGAGCATGTCCACAAAATGTTTTCTAAAGTTCCGCCTGGCCCAGAGGTTAGTTATATACAACATTATTGCGTGTGCATTGCAATTTTCTAGCAACGCTTGCGAAATAATGGGTGCCCGCCATTCATATGCATACATACATACGCATTTGTGTACGTATATGTATCGGCGTCTCTTGGCATGCAAGAAGCCGCTATAAGCTATATCTGTTTATAAATTAAGTTTTTCCCTGTTAATATAATAAATAAACACTGCAATAATTGGAATGTATGTAAGGTTTAATCTAATGTCACTATACATGTATACAATGCATATCGCAATACTAATTGAGGTTATGTCTTATGTTCTTTCTTTACACACAGCGGGACATGAAGGGCTGGGCGGTGGGCCGTTTGTATAGCAAGATCCAAGAATACGCCAAGGCCATTGAGCATTTAAATGCATTTTTGAAGGTAAACGATGATGCTGGCGCCCATAAGCTAATTGCCCGCTGTTATAAACAGTTGAAAAATCCGGATTACCAAAAGGCGTTTGAGCACTACCAACGCTCCATTCAGTTAAATCCCAAGCAGCCAGACGTTATAAATGAGTGTTGCAGAATGCTATATGAGCAAAGGAATCTCTGCACCCCAGACAGGGTTTCCTATTGGTTGGAGTTGGCCAGCACAGTTGAAGATCTTCAAGAAAGCGAGTTGCTGCTTGCGCTCCGCATGCGCTCCTCGGCGGGTACAGTAGGTTGGGCAGAGCTGGATAATTCGATGGAACTGGTAATAAAAAAAGAGCTGTTGACCCGTCCACATAATACGTTATTGCAGTTGCGGCTGCTACAAACCTACTTGGAAAAAAAACGCATCGACGAAGCCTTTAATTATGCTTACAAAACAGAGCTCGAATTCCCTGCTCACTCCCAGTCGACTGAGTGGTACGATGTGGTTTTAACGGTGCTTCAGAAATGCGAGTCCAAAGAGACATCAAAGGATTGGCCATACTGGCAGTTGTTGCTTATCACTCTCGATCGGCTCCTCCAGCTCAATCTGCAATCCGATGCCAGCAATAGTTTGGGGGAAAGCATTGCCCAGCTCTTTAAATTGGATCAGTATGTATACAAATTTAGTCTACTTGCCGATCAGCTTTCGATCAATGGGGGCCGTGAGCTGCATCAATGTTGTCTAGAACACTACGCTGGACAATTGTTCCTACACGCAGTAACGATGCTCTTTAAGCGTGAAATTCTCGGCAATAAAAACAAATGGTCCAGTACGGTGCGTGCAGCTCTCCCGTTGATGTTACTTGGCTATCAACAAAATTCGCATGATGTGAAATCATCTTATTGGCAACGCCATTGCAACAGCATGCAGCAGAAGCTGCTTAACCTTTGGCGGCATCAATCCGCCTTTCGGTGTGCCCAGCTCGGACGTACGCTTCACGGCTGTGTGCAAATGCCTATAGAGGATGCCGGACAAAATGATTGGCGGGAAAACCAATCGCAAGGCCTTTGGCCGAATAGCGATGAGCTATTGGCGGCAGCACGCCAACACTGTGTAGACAGTCAGTGGCGATCACAGCTTTATCAACAGTTATACACGCATCCCGAAAACAAATTGAAGGAGCAGTCGTCGTATCTAGTACGTGATCAGCGTCTCCAGCAGCCGCTATACGAATGGCCATCGGTTGCCCAGATTGAAGAGCATGAGCAGCTGGCGCTTCAGCTAGCACCATCAACTCTAGATCACCATGTTTACCTAGCGCTTAGCACTGAAAATTTGGCAGAGGCGCCGCGCGTGCACTTCTATAAAGCCTTGCGTCGCGATTGTAAGCAGCCTTTAAGCAACTGCAGTGTTGACACTCTAAGTCAAGTGGATGTAGATATATTTCTGTATGCTGTTGTACTACAGGCACAGCGTAAGATGCATGTGCAACGCGAGAGTTACAATAGCTACCATGTGGGCAATCGCAATGCGGCCGCCCGGCCCTATATGCTGCCTTTTGCAAACATAATGGGACGCAATGAGTTGATCACGCCGGAGCAGAACAGATGGTGGACTGTTATGCAGCGCATCCACGACAACATAGACATTGGTGAAAACTATCGCATTGAGCACCGAGAACACCTCCAGTTCGGACTCGAGGTAGTCCGTTGCCAGAATGAGCCGCATATTGAGATAATAATGCTACTCCAGCTTGGCAAGCTGCTAGCCAGCCGTGAGGATTGTGCTAATTTGGAAACGCGGATTGAGGCATTTTACAAACTGGGCATTAGCATGATGATACGTCATCAGGAGCATAAGCTGGAGCCATTTTATAGGTACTTTAAGTATTTGAATATCAATGCAAGCAGTGTCTGGATACAGGTAAAGCAGTTGGCTGAAGAAGCTCTCGCATATTTAAGTAAGCGCTCAATAAAGCTAGGAAATCACCAAGAGTTCGTAAAAGATATAAATGGCCTTAAGTTGCCCATGGCCACTTATCTCCAGGCGGAGGCCTATCGTCAGCTGGCAGATTCAAGCCACACGTCTCGAGTAGCGCGTCAAAACTTCCAGGAACGACGAATAGAGTGCCTGAGGGAAACTAAGCTTTTGCTTGGAAATAATTCTGACCATCCACTCAGCTCTGTGGTGCAGCGCGAACTAAAGAATTCCTTAGCTGACGAGCGCTATAATTCACCTGAACTTCATAACAATTCCAGTACCTATGAGGATGCTGAGGATGATTATTATACTGGTGCTGCACACTCGCTTAATCGCTCAAGGCGCCAGCTGGAGTCGCAATCGCCAGCTTCCTTACACCTGGAGCAAACTATAAAGCAGATAAGCAAACAATTGTGCGTTCTCAAGGATAATGTAGGCGGTAACTTGGAGGCTATGCGCCAGGACATTAAAGCGATATCCGAAAAATTCGATATGATTGAAGAGTTTCTTAAGAAATTGAAGACGAATAGTGGCTGTAGTCACGAAACCCAATCCCGTGATGTAGACGCTGCTGCCGCAGCGGCTGCACTTGGTCTTGATGAGTTTTTAAACATGGATGATGCAATCCAGACAAATTACTTAAATTCCGTGCCGCCAACTCATAATGCCCAAGAACGTTTATATTCGTCAGCTGGAAATGCTGCACAGCCGAATGCAGCATATGGAAGCCCTATGTTTAACCAGAACCAGATGTACAATTACTTCGCTAGCCAAGCCCAGTTTATGAGAACTCCGCCAACGGCCAGTAACATGCCACCCAATCTCTATGGTAAGTTAGCCTCACACATTACGAAATACTTTTTAAACTGGGAAAGCCCGAAAATGAAACTATATATAAACAACAGTTTTGCTCTTTTGATTATATATATGAAAATTCCTATAGACATAAATCAAATTAAATTGTTTGAAACTTTTTCGCTTACCATCCGATCGGGCCGAAACTAATATTTTAGTTATTTTTAAGTTATTCTCAAAGCACTACATAAAAATTAAATGAATACGTATTTCAGCGATTTTGAAAACTGTATGAAACTTTTTGTTTATCGTCGGATCAGCTTCAAACTCATTTTCAGAAATCTTTGTTAAAATTTATTTGATACTCTTTTCGTGACATGCACCGCTCTTGGATGGGAAATGCTGGCTAAAGGTTTAATAAACGAAAGTTTATTTTTCGGCTTCCAGACTCGCATTACAAGATTTAAATGGGCGTAAATTGTTGATTCGAACTTATGGGGCTTTAGAGGATGGACTTTAAAGATTCTTTCAATATAATTGCAGTTCAAGATATTACGGCCAGAATTAAATTTTTCACATATTCATATAAAAGCTGACGGTTTATTTATTTACGAAATAACTATATGAAAAATAAAAATTATATATTTTGTTTAACAGGACCACGTCCACCAGCGAGCTTTGGTGTGCCGCCCAACATGTATCCGAATCCAACAGGTGCTCCATTTATAGAGAGTTTGAATTATGGAATTGCTGCGCCGCCACCCAGCTTAGTACTACCGCAAGTTTCACAGGCACAGCCGTTTAACCACCCTCCAGTGCCACCTAACGTAAATATGGCTTCTAGTGCAAACTTCTTTAATACGGCACAATTTCTGCCGTCGACCGTTCAAGTTCCACAGCAGGTACCGCAACCGGCTCAACAACTACAGCCGCCTGTGCAGGCGCCTCTGGTGCAGCACAAGCCCACAATAGCAACTACCACACCGATTACTCTAGCTTCTGCTACAGGTACTGCTGCAGTATCTGCATCTGTCGCCGCTTCTCCTGCTGCGGCTGCTCCTCCTGCTGCGGCTGCTCCTCCTGCTGCGGCTGCTCCTCCTGCTGCGGCTGCTCCAGCCTTAGCTACTTCGGCCGCTGTCGCT